GTGGGAGAAGGTGTGGGAGAAGGTGTGGGAGAAGGTGTGGGAGAAGGTATGGGAGAAGGTGTGGTGTTGAGGAGAAGGAGCAGTAGAGGTAGCTAACGGAGCTATCAAATCGATATCAATCTAACTCTTACCAAGTTACGCGCCTCTATCTGGCTATTTACCTATTAAACACTTATAAAGACGATTAGTTTCCTATTAATAGCGATTTACTACTATAAACCAGTATAATTAGGAAGTATATTGTTGTTTTATATGTATAGGTGGCTGATTAGAGGTGTAATGCAGACAGATCTACGTAACTGAGCGAGAAAACGCGCAAAACACTAGCTACGCACGGACCACTATCGCGAGTCTTGGCATAGCTCGCTAGGTATAGACATATTCCTCTCCGCCAGATCCTGAGCGCGCCTTCTACTCAACTTGCCGCTGCTACTCCAGTCCAACGCCTCTACGCTCTCCCGGAGATCACTATAAGCCTCGTCCTTCAACAGAGCGTCGATACGCTGCTTTACCCACGCTTTCTGTAGCTGCGGCGTCTTCAGATTGACCCAGAACTTCGCGTTTAGCTCCACCATGAAGCTCTCAAGTACAGGCATCCCCAGGCGGGTGTCCAACGCTGAGTACTCTATCTGGAACCGCTCTAGAGCCTCTTACTGATAGTCACGAGTCTTAAAAGCAGTTGCAAGCTCCCTGATCTGCCTTGCTATATTGTCTAGCCTCATTCCTATCTGGTCCTTTGCCGTGAGTTTCCTGGTACGCTTCTCTCGCCTCTCCGCCGCCATTGTGGCAGCCCGTTTACGCCCTTGAGACTCGTTGCCAGAGTCTATATCTGTTGACAAAGACTGGGGGTCACTGTCCTCTATAGAATCGGCAACCTGGCTGGCAAGGAGCCTGTCGATAGAGCTTGCCGCCTCCCCAGTGGCGTAGTAGCCCTCGAAGAGCTCCCGGTGTAGGTCCTCGAACGGTAAGGCAAAGTCTCTATACCTCTCCGCCTTTGGATGAGCAACAAAGTACTCCGCGAGCGCCCCCTCATCTGCAACAACAACGCCGTCAACAACACTAAAGCCTGATTGCTGGCGGAGCTGCGCCCATATCTGCCACTCCTTCTTGCAGGTATCGACTTTGCCTTTGCATTGCTCTATGGTGATAGGCCTGGACGACAACTCCTGCACCTTCTTCTGGGCATAGGACCAGGCCTGTGGCTTGAACCTGCCATCAGCTCTGTTGCCCTCACTAGCCTGGAAACATAGAGCTCTTAGCAGAGCTTCGAGTTGCCTATCAGACCATACCATACGCGTCCTCGATATTGGTGTTGAGCTGAGAGACCTAGGCGTGGGTGACGGCGACAGGGATACTGGCGGCGGCAGCGCTGGCGGCGACGACGATAGGGTGCCTGGGGCCGGGGACGGGGATGGGGACAGTGATAATAGGACCTCTGCGAGCGCTGATTGAGCAACTCTCTCAAGGTGCCTGTTACGAGGTGTTGAAGGATCCATTTCCCAACAAAACAACAAAAAGTGCTCTGTCAGTCAGCCCACGGCGATCAACAGGAGACAGACTACCAAGAAAACGGTATTTTACAGCTAAACAAGCCTCCGTTTGGTAACTGGAGTCAGCACAGGCGCCGTTACAATGGGTGGAAAAAAGTGGACTATCGCTCACGTGAAATTCCTTGGCTGAACACCGAAAATTTCAGCTACATCGTGAATATACCATCAAAGTAGCTTTTAAGCAGCAATATACTAGATGTAAAGATATTTAAATTATGCCATTGTTAAGATCTGTATTTAGCATCACCAGGCTAACATTCTGAGACGGCCAAGGTCTTATGGGAGCCAATGGTGGCACAGCAATGGGCAAGTCACGTGACTGCTCGAAGCGCTCGAAGCGAGCAAGTCGAGCAGGTGCAGGAAGCCAAGGCTGTGCTCGCTCCGCTCGAGTCGAGCAAGTCGAGCATGCTAAGTATATAGGAACATAAGGATGGACTCTTCTACCTCGTGTTTAACCTGTTTATTAATCTATCTTTTGGATTTACTTAGGCTCTTGTTAATTTAATTATAACGCACCTTATTTTAATACTAACACCCTATTAATAAGCGCGAGCTATTAATACACCCTTTTTTATCTTTAATATTACTCTTGCTAGAGAACTAACCTTAACCCTATTTTAGACTAGCTACCTGTAGGGACTTAATATCTTAAACACCCTAACATAAGCGAATACGAGACCCTTTCTAATGCACTAGATGTTATTCTAAGAAATACCTTAAATAATAATAACAACAATGCTACTATTACCTATATTAAGGGAAGCCTATATGCTAAACTTAATCTTTTTTACGGAGACTGTAAGCATACAGAACTATAAATCTTATAGCTTAACTTCTACTTCTACGGAACGAAGAAGGAATAAAATAAAGCTAATAAAACCATTTTTATAGTATTTTACATAAAAGGACTAGCCCTTGCATGGATTTGACCATATCTTAACTAATACCTGGCTAAAGAGAACTTAGAGGGAGATACTATTAATAAAATTATAGAAGACTATAACAAGTTCTGCAAGAAAGTTAAATAGTACTTTAAAGTAACTAATTAGGAGGCTATCGCTAAAAGAGCTATCTAGTAACTTAAGCAAGCCCGCTTAGCTACTAAATACGACTCTAAATTCTACAGACACGCTAATTAAATCTATTAAAACGAAGCAACTCTTATAACTATGTACTATTAAGGACTTAAACCTAACCTACGCGAAGAACTATTACGTAGCGGAGCAAAGATAGATACACTAGAAGCATTGTTAAAGGAAGCCATTAAGATTAATAAGGAATAGTACGAACTAAAACGCGATATACGATAAAACTAGTTAGGACAATAAGGCTATAAACTACCCTTAAGCTACGATAATTATCGCAATTAACAAACTCCTAGGCCAAGACAAGACAACTACGGACCTCAGCCGATGGAAGGAATCTAGTACCATAACCAAATTAATACAATTAGGAAAGGAATAGGAAAGTCTCTAGGCTATCGTAAGAAGCCTAACTAAAGACGTATCTTAGATAGAACCCGACGACAATAGGGGACCGAGACACGCACTTGTTTTACATGTGGCAAACCAGGCCATATAGCTAGGAACTACAGATCTAGGAACAAGGTTATTAGACAGTTAAACGTACTAATTGTCGAAGACGCGAACGTGACTGACGAAGAATAGTAAGTTATTAATATTATTAAGTAACTTAATACCTAAGATAGGGACTTAGAGCAAACGGACTCGCCTAACTCTTAGCTATACGAAGATATAGAAGAAGGATTAGAGGTAAAGCAGGAGG